TTGTAGGCTGCTGTCAGAGCAATGAGGACAGCACCAACTTTCTTCCCTGTCTCAGATGTGTTGAGTCAGACAAAGTACCTGATCTTGGGTGCATCGTCCCCTCCTGAATCCAGTCTGATCTTAAGGCAGCTGGGGATTGACTCCCTCATTAATCCACGTCAGGATTCGGCTATCTGTCGGTTTATAGGTAACACTGTTTGGAGCCGTCAATAGTTTTCATGGCTCGGGGACAGCTTCAACTTCTGCTCTGCACCAGACTTTTGCGATGCTGCAATTCTGGGTGCCATGATTCAGAAACCAAAGCAAGCAGCTTTTGGTGATTGGCTCAAAGTGAGAGACGATCTCGTGGATGTTATCTAGACCAGGAGCATTGTTAGGCTGCAGCTGATGTATAGCCAGGTCAAGCTCTTGATCAGTAAAAGGAGCCATCAGGTTTATGTCCATGTTCTCAGCCACCATTTTAACTGCACGGCTGAAAACTGTCTCAACTAGGAGCTCTGCCATGGGCCATCAGATGGGATGCAATTGCATTTGCTGTGACTGTGTGTTCCCTCTCCATCCATTCTCTTAATAGTTTGCCAGGCTTTGGGTCTGAAATACGTGACGTTCAATTTGGAACTCCCCCCCCCCCCAACCCCTATCTCTCTTGTCTGGTTTGATGTAGAAGGTGAAAAAGGTCTCTATTTATCAAAAACCTCCTATTCATTCTTGGTAGATTTAAATTCCTGGTATAGTCTGGTTGCATCACATGACCATCCATGAATTTATTGTAGATGAAATCCTCGGGGTATAGATTTCTTTGATGTGTCCACAACTTTATCGCAGAAAACTTGGTAGATGGCACTGAGGTTGTTCTGAATATCTGATTTTGAGTCTTCACCCACAAGAGACTCCAAATGAGACCGGATCAGATCCCCCCTTGATTTCAGAAGTTTCACCAACATTTCTGGAGGCTATTTGTAGTTGAAATTTGCATCAGGATGAATTTGTCTAGCCTCAAATTCCAGCCGCTGGATCTTTTTAAAGCTCTTATAATTTTTACTTCCTCTTCCAGTACTTCCCCAGGATTTGGGTCGGTTGTGATCAAGGATGGCTGATGCTGGGTTTGGGGAAACATATCCAGCATTTTACATTCCATGACACCCGGAGGATGTTGTCCAGTGGTAGAAAAGGCAACATCAGAGAAGAACCTGAGTCCATCCATCTTTTGCTATGGAAAGTGGGTGGTTGCTTAGGATCATAGTCGACCATCAATGTCCACTCCTCTAGCCTTATTCCATCCACACATCATCAGTGAATCTCCAATAGGACTGGTGTGAATTAAAATTGCCACAGTAGACTGAAGGTCCTGAGAAAGTGATGACAGGAATGGGCCAGATGGCAGGTGGAGGTTTGTAGATGTGTATAAAAGAGTTGGGTCCGTCACTTTTTATAGCCTGCCGTTCAATGACATCATTAGGACCTGATGGTGAGACTAGAGTGATGGAATGACTCCCTAATGTAGGATGCCATCCTGTGATAGAGGGGAGACACAACAGCAAAGCCAGGGATTGATAGTTAGGTGTCAGCTTTAGAGTGTGTTTCTTGAAGCAAGATGACATGTGCTTCATGTTCTACAGCCAACTAGGGAAGGATACCCCTCTTGGCCACTGAGATTCCAATGCAATTGAGGGCAGCCGCTTGAGACCCCAGTGCTAGGGTTTCTGATGCTGGCCATAAAAGGGACCACATTGGAGGGTGATTCTTTTCAGCTGTATTTGTCTTTCACTTTTGACAATGAGAACTTGAGCTCCAATTGCGTATTTTATCTACTTTTGTTTTGCGTTTTGCTACTGATGGGGGGGGGGGCACATGACGGTAGTAGACTTGCTTGAAGTAAACACCAAATACTGCCAGTGTTGCAGTACTTGCCACAAAATTGTAGTACTTGCAATAAAATTGCAAAAGTTGGCAACACTGCATGAGGACTGAACTAACAAAACGATGGCATTATTGAAGACACCAGAAGTAGAAAATGACAGCTTTTTCAACAGACAGAGACGGCGTAGATCTGAAAGGAGAAAACAGTTGAGAACAGCTGATGAATTAACTTTTAACCATATATATATATATATACACCGAGAGAGAGAGGACTGTTTTACTCATTTACAAGAAAGGTTGGGTCAGATCTTCAGCTAGTGTAAATCAGCATGACTCTGTTTAGCTCCATGAAGGAACATCAATTTACATCAGATGAAGATCTGGCCCAGTGTAAGCGCGTGGGACTCACCCCTGCGGCGTCTCCTGCTGGTACCTTCTGGGAATTAGTTCTCCAGCCGTCGGAGCGCCCTCTGCAGGCCGGTGTCCCGCTTTCGCCAGGCCCCCATGTCCCTCCCGGACCCGGTGCCCCTTGCACACTGGGGTGCTGCCCCCTGGCAGTACACCCCTCAGTCTCTGGGTCTCCCCTCCCCGGGGAACCCCCAGCCCCTATCCCCGCCTCGCCTCAATCGTAGGCTACTGCCAGTCACCAACTAGCCCCCTTTCACTGGGGCTGACTGCAGTCTGTATAAGCCAATCATCACAGGCAAGGGGGGTTTGGACCTGCTGCTTCTACCTATAGCGGAGCTGTCCCTCTGCAGCCCAGTACCCTCTAGTGGGCCCTTACTTCGGCATACAGCCTGGGGCTCTGCTAGGCTGGAGCTCCCCAGCTCCCTGGCCCTTCCCCAGCATTGCGCCACCCTCGGTACCTTCCTCAACTCCCCAGGCAGCCTGGTCCCTCCCTCTCCAAAGGCTAGAGAGAGAGTGTCCCTGCTCCTGGCTTCCCTGGCCTTTATAGGGCCAGCTGGGTCTGTTTGGGGCGTGGCCCCAGCGGCAGCTGCTTCCCAATCAGCCCAGCTTTCCCCCTGCCCCAGCCCTCTCCAGGGCTGTTTTAGGCCCTTCCAGGCAGGAGCGGGTGACCACCCCGCTACACCCGGTATATGGAAGATGAAGGGAATAAAATAGGTTACAAGATATGAAAATTCAGAGTGGAATCCTGGCCCAGTTTGAAGTGATGGGAGTTTTCCCCCTGACTTCAACTGGGATGGCATATCACCCTTCAAAACTAGCATAGGATCATAGGGTGAAATCCTGGTTATAACGAAATTAATTCCCACACTCCTGTTTACTTCAATAGGGCCAGAAGGAAATATTGTGATCGTCTAGTCTGTTGTTGTACATAACAAAAGCCAAATGACTTCCCTGAACTAATTCCTGTCTCAACTAGAGCATATCTTGTAGAAAAAAAATCCACTCTTGATTTAAAAATTGCTAGTGATAGAGAATCCACCACAATCCTTGATAAGTTCTTTCAGTAATTACCCTCACAGCTAAAACATTGGGCCTTATTTCCACTCTGAATTTGTCTAGTCTCAATTTCCAGCCATTGGATCTTTTAAAAGCTCTTATAAGTTTTAATTCCTCTTCCAGTACTTCCCCGGGATTGGGTCCATGACCTCTGGCACCATAAGTGAGAGCCATACCTCTAAGCCATTAAGGTTTTGATCCTGCAATGGATCTACACCAAGCTGGAGGGAGACCAACGAATTAATTTCTATCGCATGACTGAACAGTTATCAGATGGTGACTTCTGTTCACTATTGACATTGAGTGAGATATAAACACGCAACTGAGAAGTGAAAGGCCTCTTAATGTGTTTGCTTCATGCAAATGCACGTTTGTTAATTTCCCATGATAAAGCACTTAAAAGCAAATGTAGAGTTTATGACATGCCAATAGATTTTAAAGCTGAATAATATACAATTATTGAAGTGGCTAATAATGCAAATTATCTGAGTCAGTCTCAGTGCATAGCAGTAAATATATGCCGTTCCATGCGGGCACTCTTTTTTTCCATTTAATGTTTTACACCCCTGACGAGATGTTTTCAGTATATTGCTTATACCAGCATGGTGCACTCTCCGTATTCTTGGATGTCATTATGAAGAACCCTGAAGACTGTACCAATTCTCCACTGTCTCTGAGGCTCGCTTGAAAACTGCTTGGAGCAACAACACCAAATGTCAACAGGGAGCCATATTAATTATTTGGAATGTGCCTCATAAGAGGAATCAACTGTTTTTATTACAGCATGAATATTACTTGAAACGGGAAGGTTATTCTAGCTGTTATCATAATCTATGTATCATTAACTTTCCTTGTTTAGAAAAAGAGATTAACAGCCCAGAAAATTGTTATAGTAAATAGATGAATTATAACATGTTTTTATTATAAATAAAAGTTTTTCAATATAAGCAGTTACCTAGTGATCCATTGGAGAAGAATGGAGTCTTTAACAACTAAAGAACTGCATTGTAAGGTTGACTCTTAAACGGCTTTCATTCATGTGAAAGGGACTGTAATTCTGCACACCAAAGTTTACATCTACTGCAGACCAAATGTCAAACCACTATTTACGCCATACTTTCAGTAACAGCTCTTGTAGGCAACAAATGCAAAGCTTGCTATAACCTGGAACTGCTCATTTTCCATTTCGAGTCAGGTTAACAGAATGAATGTTCTTCCCCCCGCCCCCCCCCCAGTTTGAAATACAGAATCTGCAAACGAAACTGGATATGAGTCCCCATAAGAGAATGAAATGCAAAATTCATGATGAAACTGCAACTAGCCTTCTCTAAAACAGGTCATATTGGATCCCAGAAGAAACGTGGTGATGAGCAAGCATGTGGAGCCTTCGCTATGAGTGGCAATGGGAGATATGGCTAAATTTAAACATACGATAATATCTGTTTGGAGGAAGCAATTTTATTTTTTACATACATACTGAGAGGTGAAATATCCTCCATAAGGTTAATCTTCAACATTAATTTCTATGTGCAAGAAAAATACCTGATAAAGTAGAATGTGTTTGAACCTGTTGTTGGTCATGTTTTAAGTGTGTGGTGTGACATGTGTGTTGAACTAAAATCCTTACAGATCTGAATGTGAAACAGTAGACACTGAAACCCTTGATTTGTCCACAGGGCAGGCACACCACGGGCAGGTTTCCTACATTGCTCCACCAATTCATCTTGATTCGGACCCGGAGAGACCGCCTTCGAAGGGTGAGTCCGTGACGCAATCTGTGTCTGTGGGCATGGTCAGATAGCCATAGGCATGAATGTATTTTATTGGTTTGTGCAGAAGAGCCTCCATGAAGAGAGTTACGGTGTGCCATCCGAGGCACTCATTGGAGCAAATTAATTCCATTGACTTAAATAGAGTTACACAAGCCATAGATTTGGCTCATGCTCTCCATTCCTTGTGTAGAATTGAGATTACTGTATTATCCCAGGGCCATTTAGTTCTCCCACGCAGTACTATATGCATTTGTGTTGGAGAACTGTCACCCTTAATCCTCACGCAACGCTCCCTCGTTCCCTGATTCCACTGCATAGCCAGTTTTGGTGGGTACTCTTTCTGCACTCTGACGCGGGTAGAGGTGGTAGAGGAACAGGGGGAGCGGATGGATCTGCAGCTACTCAAGGGTGGTGAGGCTGCACCAATGATATGGAGTGACTTCATTTCACAGCTTGATTTCTCCCCCCATCTCATCAACTCCTGCAAAGTACAGTACGTTTTTGGCCTTGGCTTGGGAAAGCAGATTTACCCCTAAAAGATGTACTCAGATTGCTTACAGAGTTCTTAGATCTTTTCTGTGCTTGTTTTGACTCCGTCTGTATGTGTTCAGGTATGTCAGCTCTAAGATACCGAGTCGACTGTATTTGGCTGCATCGTAGTAAGATCTATAAGTTAAAACCAAAGATGGATATGGAGAAATCTCTTGCTCACCCAGGGGAATGCATAGGAATATTTACTTTAAAAACAGGGTGGTCCTTTTGGGGGCAGGGGAGTAACATTTCATCAGAGAGCGAGTGATGATGATCTATAGATTAAAGGAGAAACTAAGGACACAATAATTGCCACCTAGAAAATTGTTTAGGAACCCCTTTAAATACATTTGAGTAGTTAAGAAATTCATGGAGATGAATTTCCGTATAGGCAGCTTATTCCATAACTACCTACTGCAATATAATTGAGACAAGACATGGCACTCAGTGGACCTCGGGTCTGATCCAGTATGGGAATTCCTGTCCTCCTCCTGTTACATAACTATACAACGTGTGCAATTTCACATGCAGACGTGTTTCTCTGAGTGCACCATATTTAAAACGCAACATGCAAGTGCAAGGTTGAGTACACTAATATGTGACACCATGTGGGTAGGACCTGTTCCTAAATTGCCTCAGCCAGTGCACTCCATTAGCACAGAGGGCATGCTAGATATTCAAAGGGATGGTTCAGCAGAAAGACACAAATGGCAGGCGGTTGCTGTGTCTCTACACTGTCTCAGCTCGTTGATTGCTATCACATCAGGACTTTCTTCTTCCCCCATCAGATGGTTCTTATCTGTTGCTAAACAGTGTTTTTGGTGATTTAAAAACATGAGGGCAAATCAGTCCCTGCCCCCAAAAGCTCACACTCTAAGGCTGTGATCCTGCAACTAACGCAGCACTGGTGGACCCCTGGGCCCATGTGGTGCCCTATTGTCGTCAGTGTCTGTGGGAGCTCAGTAAAGTCATAGGGCGGATTTGGATACCTGTACCCCAGCTGATTAGCATCTTACTGTGTGAGTAGTCCCATCAGTGCTACTCAGTGTGAGTTAGTACATCAGAATCTGACTCTGAAAGGCTTCTTTTGCCTTACCCATCCATTGCCCCCAGTGTTCGGAGATTGAGAAAGTCTCAGCATGTGCATGGGCACTGAAACATATCCTGCTCCCCAAAGTTACCCCTGAACTTTGCAGCCTAAATTCAAGCATATTCTGTGTGCAGTGCTGGCCCCATTGAAATCCATGGAAATTTTGACATTCATATCAATGGGGTCAGGATTTCACCCTCAAAATGTAAGGCCTCTGCTGTCTTTCACTGTGAATGCGAGTGCATGTGTATGCAGTGCAGCAGTAAAGATCACAAACAATTGAATGAGTCTGACTATATATGTAAGCAGTTTCTTTGTTTTTGCTTCTTGGAGAACACAGTTGCATTCCCAATGGGTGGGACACGATGGTCAGTGGCCCGTTCTCCATCTCTCGCCAAAAATGATTGTTCTCATGGAAGAAAGTGGACTGCTTCCAAAACAGGTGATGCTGATCATCCAAAATCCCATAAGGCTTTAAACCCCTGGTTCAATCTCTTCCCCATCGGAGTTTGCCTTTAGTCCAGACTGTCTTTTATAGTCTAGATCTTCAGCTGTTTCTCCACTGCCTCCAAACAGTGCTTGTAACTTTTAAGATCTCTCAAAATCATTTTGTCAACTATGTGCCCTGTTTTAACAGAGGACTCCAGCAAGGCAGATGATGTCTCAGGCTGGGCGACCGAAACACCCAGCCTCTCATAACTTTCTCTGATATTAGCTGTAGTGATTCAGAACTTATATGGACTAGCTCCACTTAAATCATCCCCATGGCTTGCTGCAGAAGATCAAGGGGGACTGGGTCAGCAGCAGCCAAAGATGGTGCTGTCATGGGCTTAGCCACTGATGCAACAGCCCCGGGCCTATAATAGTCCTCTGCAATTTGCTTTCAGGAGGGCATAACTCATCCCCTAGGCCAGGTCCAGAATGACACATCCACATGCTGACAAGAGTCAGATGAGCTGGAGAGACTGGTGAGAGCAGGAAGTGGCGCGCACCCAGCACACTGCTGGCATTATGCCTCCCTGGCATGGCCTCTCTAGAGCCCCAGTGAAAAGGTTTTCAAGCAGTACTTGTTCAAAGAGCTGTGGTACATTATGTACTTGTATGGCACTTCCCATAGACCTGCCCAGTAACTCTGATCGCACAGGTGATTAACATCGGTGGGATTCAGTGGGGATCATTGCCCCTTGTGTTCTGCCGTCCAGCGCAGGGGTCCGTGAGGCTCCCCTGTATCATTCTGTTATTGGGAGGGGGCTCAGAAACCCGGGTGATGTGCACACTGTAGGAAGCTAGGCAGATGGGAATGAGGCTCTTCCCCCCCCTGAAGAAGAGGCTGTGGTTCTGCCCTCAATCACCATTGTTGGGGTTCCCCCGAGACCTCTTCCACGCCGTTCCCCAAGATCTCGGTTTGGCTCCAGTCTCCTGACTCAAGTTCCTTTATTTGGCAGAGAGCAAAGCTACGGTGAGTTGATCAGACTCAAGCGTAGGGGGCGGATACTGGGTATCCTACACATCCAAAGTTACCCAGCACGTCTCTTCCTTTTTATACATTTACACATCACATTGTATTTACTATACGTTGTGTCACATGCTTTGGGGTTGGCTTGGGCACTTAGTAGGAACCAATCCCTGTGCAGCATGCTCTGCCCATGCACTGTCCAGGTATGACTTACTCTTAATCTAATCTTACATTTCAGGCTTATCTTATCCACTGTTATCTTGTCCATTGTCAATGGTTCACTGGGGGTCCCCCCTTCTCTGAACTAGTGCAGACATGTTGTTCCCAGCCTGCTGATCCATTTACTTCTCTCATCCTGTCTCCCAAGCAACGAGGCCTCACCCATGTCCAGTTACTCATGTCAAGTCAGGCCTACATTGCACTGCTTTAGTTTTTCTTTTCTATATTAGCATATATTTCATTTGCATCGTATTCCTGTCCTTCTGTGCTTTCTTTTTATAAGTTCACTACTGAGCAACACATTCCCAAGACCACAGTAGTAATCATTTGAATCACTGTTAATTCTAAGCTCAAAGTACAAAATAGGGTGCAAGTTTACCTCTTCTGCTATAGTCCACCAGCTTGTAATCTCACATGATAAACTTGCTCTGCCTTTAAAACATACTGTAATTTTAATTTTGCTTTTATTTTCATCACATTATTTAAAAAAACGGGTACAAAATATAAAATCTTTTCATTTATCACCGCAGGAAATTTAGGTGTGGAACAGAACATAGGCCAATTACAATAACATTCGCTGGGTCCATACCAGAAGTGGTCCTCTTCGGCCACCGCATAATACAGTAACTCCTCACTTAAAGTCGTCCTGGTTAACATTGTTGCCTTGTTACGTTGCTGATCAATTAGGGAACATGCTCGTTTAAAGTTGTGCAATGCTCCCTTCTAACATCGTTTGGCAGCTGCCTGCTTTGTCCACTGCTTGCAGGAAGAGCAGCCCGTTGCAGCTAGCTGGTGGGGGCTTGGAACCAGGGTGGACCGGCAGCCCCCCATCAGCTCCCCGCTCCCCTATGTTCCCTGTGCTGCAGCCGCACAGCAGGTTATCAATTGCAGGCAGTTCAGCTGTCCCTCCCCCCACTGCCCTGTGCTGCTCCTGCCCTCTGCCTTGGAGCTGCTCCCAGAGACTCCTGCTTGCTGTGTAGGGGGGGGAAGGGGGGTGCTAATGTCAGGGTGTCCCCCTCCCCCCTGCTCCTGCACCCCGCTTACCCCCTCTCCATATAGAGCAGGGAGGGGACACAGACGGAGAGAGACAGAGAGAGCTTGGGGCAGCAGCTGCTGTCTCAACTTCCTGATCCACTTAAAAAGACAATGCACTTAAGAGTGGGTCAGCTTACTTACAGGGGCAGTGTGCATCTCTTGCTCTGTCCCACACACAAGGTGTCTGTCTGTCTCTGGCTGCTATGCTGTCTCCCCTCCCTCGTGTTCATGCTGCCTTGTGTGAGAGGCTACATTAACAACAATGTGTTAACCCTTGAGGGAACAGCCGAGTGCTAGTTCATCATTCAGCAGTAAGGCATTCCCTGGGAAATATCCCACCCTCTTCCACCCTCTAACTTCACCACCTCAACCAAGCTTCTCAACCATCATAGCTGTGAACAGTATTAAATTGTTTGTTTAAAATGTATACTGTGTGTATATCTATATAATATATAAAAGCAGCAAAGAGTCCTGTGGCACCTTATATAGACTAACAGACGTATTGGAGCATGAGCTTTCGTGGGTGAATACCCACTTCGTCGGATGCAAGTATTCACCCACGAAAGCTCATGCTCCAATACGTCTGTTAGTCTATA